CTGGGCCCCACTGGGCCTCACTGGGCCTCACTGGGCCCCGGGGCGGGGGTCGGGGAAGGCATGTTGCAGGCGGCTCTGATGGAGGACATTTCGGGCGTCCTGTTCAAGAGCTGCACCAGGAGGAGGCCTCAGTGTCACCTCCTCATCCCGGAAGTGTCTCCTAATCTTCCCCCCTCCGTCCCTTCCCTCCTTACCCCTTGCCTTCCTTCTCTCCTTCCTCAGCTGTTTGCTCTGAGGCCGTACAGGCAGAAGGAGTTTGGGGTGCGGTCCCTGAAGCTCTTATCTGCCCTGCACCCCATCACCTCCCTGCACCCTGTTATCAACTCCTGCATCGGCCAGCTGTGGAAGAAGGTGATCCCAGAGATGCTGCAGACCCTGGATGGTGAGGGGGAGGTGTGGCGGGGGTGGGAGGGCAGGGAGGAGGGGAATGGGGGGGAGGGCAAGCAAGATGGGGTCCTGAGGGGCAGGAGGTGAGGAGGGTGCGCGCAGCCTCCCCATCTTCCCAGGTGGCGGATGGCGGGGTCCTCTCCATGGAGTCATGGATGAGGGCGGGTGGCGGGGTCCTCTCTGTGGAGTGGTGGATGAGGGCGGGGACCCCACACAGCCCAGGTTCCAGTCCTTGGGTGGACGCAGGGTGCTCATCATCTCTAGGTGGCGGGGGGGGGGAGGGCTAGAGTTAGAGTTAGGGTTCTGTTTCCTGTGGCCCGGAAGTTTCCATCGGTGCTCTTCATCGTTTGCAGATTACGACGAGGGGAGCCTGAATCAGGGGACCTGGGAGCACAGGCTGCTGCAGGTGCGGGCCCCTTCCCCCAGCCCCGTCCTGTCCTCCTCTAGTCCCAGCCAGGCCCTTCTGTGAGGCTCCGTCAGCACCGCCCCTCCCTCGTCCACGCCCCACTTGCCCTGTCTCTCACTTCTTTGCTACCCCATTTCCACGGGGCTGGGAGCCCCCCTCCCCACACAGCCCCTCCCTCCCCCTCCCCCTCCCCCGCATAGTGGATTCCTTCTCCCTTCTTTTTTTCCTCAGTTTTCCAGTCAATCGCTGGTGGCCATCAGCGATGATGGCTGGATGGAGCAGCTCACCATGGGCGTCCTGAACAGGATAACTTACCTCAGAGACAATGATGAGGAGAAGGTGCGTCTGTGCAGGTGGCTGGGGCTGGTGGGGGGACGTCTCATTAGAAGGTGGAGGGGGGGCAGCAGAGGAAGGACGGGCTCAGGCAGGCAGGCAGCCGCTGCAGTCTTGCAGGAGCTCATCTTAGCGCTCTGAGCCCTCTGATGACTGTCCTCTTTGCTGGACTCCCTAGGGTGTGTGTGTGTGTGTGTGTGTGTGTGTGTGTGTGTGTGTGTGTGTGTGTGTGT